TTATGTCTGTTTATATACAGCTCACGTGTTTCTTTAGAACAGTGTTTACATACTTATCATTTATACATTATTTATTTATCTACATGGCGCGTAGCGGCTGTTATTCGTCACGATTCGCCTCGCCCGAACAGCAAGTCCTCAAATCAATGCATAGACTAGACTTAGAGCGTATTTTGTTCAATATAATTAAATGTGATTAAATAGGGTTTAACGCTAATGTCAGGAACACCATATTGTGAAACATTGTATCCGAGCAGGCAAAGGGGGGTCAATAGTGGAAGCTTTATGTGTATTCCCAATGGAGGGCGTCCATCTTCACAAGGCAAGGGAGTTAACTAACTGTAAAAGTCCAGTCGGCTCGTATACTGCCGTGCAAATTCAAGGCCGTAGTTAACTTTTTGTGACAGGACAGGTGTGTGTGTGTGTGTGTGTGTGTGTGTGTGTGTGTGTGTGTGTGTGTGTGTGTGTGTGTGTGTGTGTGTGTGCATGTGTGTGTGTGTGTGTGAGGGTGGGGTGTGTGTGTGTGTGTGTGTGTGTGTGTGTGTGTGTGTGTGTGTGTGTGTGTGTGTGTGTGCATGTGTGTGTGTGTGTGAGGGTGGGGTGTGTGTGGGATGTGGGGTGGGGTGTGTGTGTGTGTGTGTGTGGGGGGGGGGGGGGGGGGGGGTGGCAGATACTGTTATTAATTTTTTAATCAAGTTAAGGAAAAATGTTTTCTGTAAAAAAAATCTGCATAGGAGGTCGCGTAAGGTGAATGTTCTACTATTAAGCAAATCAGCGTAGAGGCGTCTTAATTCTTGTCACGACTGAGCGACAAGCTTGTCTTTATCTGAAAACGTATATAATCGAGTTGCGATTTCAGAGTAAAGACGCGCCGTGATATTATGCCAATACAGAAGGGTATAGTGGCAATAATCAAATGAAAATTATCACATCTGCTGGGGAGAAGGCGATCAGATCTAATGGATTTCTAATGGTTGATTTGATGACATGGCGGCGCACTAGGTCGTTAAATGGGTCGTGGGTCAAATTCGGTGTTTGCATTTTGCAGCCAACGTCACTTATATCGGGTAAAATCACCCCTGTTGACCATACAAGAGCGAATTCTTCAAGGCACGCTTCTGATGAGTTGACCTATGTCAGCTTAACTTATGTTGTTCCACTGACGAGTGAGAGAGACACTGTGTTCATTGAGAATCGTGGGTGTATTTTGACCTTGACGTACACGTCTGCCAATCGCAACCCAGACGTGTTCACTGGGAGAAACATCAGAACTGAGTGCTGGCCATGGTATGACATTGTTATAGTGCAAACCATTTCAATACTTACTTAACATTTCATTTATCTAAATACGCAAACATTCGGCGTATCCCCTCTTATCATAAGCCCCTCCGGGCAGGACCCTTAATTTCCAGCGCTATCTATAATTTTCAATTAACACCTCCTAACGTCGCCGGATCTTACGTATATACATACACGTGGGACAATGACCTTGCCACACGTCACGTCATACCTCGCTCTACAAAACGCAACTGACATGGTCAGTCTGAGAGACAGCCAGAAGGTAAGTGACAGAACGGTTCTCCCACCCGGGAAGATTGGCCACTCGGTCCCGGTGTGCGTTCTGTCACGTTATTATCAACATGTACCTTTTCAACTTATTCCAAACCATCAACAATAAACATCGTCGTCTTAAACTTCACCCCTGAGTTTTGTCATCCGTCATCACCCTGAGCTACAACCCGAGGGCCGAAACATACGCCCTTGGGCAACATGGATGCTTTGCCGTTAGAGGAATTTGATCGCAATCCTGGAACGATAAACACATGCATTATTATCTTGAAAGAATAAACGTTGCCCAACACGTTGTGCAAATGGCACCACAAGTGGTTCAGTTATGTTGTCCCGATAGTATTGACCTTTGACTTTGCCATGGGCAATAGGGAGAGCAGATCGGCCAGTCATTGTGACACCATCCGATACCATTATGGACCCACATCCCAAGCGTCGATGCTGTACGACGCCAACGTAAACCCCTCATTAGCACGTATCTAAACTCGATTCCTTCGGTCAGGGAAGTCGAGAGTGAAACTTGATTCGTCAGAAACGTCGATTTACCAGTGCTGACGTTCCCTGCATCACTGTCGCCTCTGAAAAACTTGCAGTTAGTTGTGGGGTGACATGTGGACGTCGAGCACGCGAATGACGTCAGTGAAGACGATTTCGCATAGTCTAGGCATGTACTCTTACACCAGCTGCCTGTTGCAACCGGTACCATCTCTGAGTGGCAGTTTGCAACCGATTCCGTTATGCCACCGTTCTGACTAATCCGACTGGGCTGGAGTTGTTGCCCCTGGACGTCCAGAGCAGCGTCGATCGTCGGCGTTATACGTTTGTTTGTGTCAGGTCCACAATCCACTGATGACAGACAGAGAAACATGCAGCCTCATACAATCAGTGCTGTTGCTTCCTTAATGATTAAATGTGTTAAATAAGAAAACAATATGCGTCTGCTGACAACCGAGACTGAGTGACAATGGTAAATCTGGCATACCACACCTTGAACGTGCTGCCCGAGGTCACGTGCTTCATGGCTGTCATGATGTTGTGTTTGGGAGCTTGATTTCTTCGGAAATGTTCTTGCCACATAAATCACTTACTTTCACAGAGATTGGTGTATTCTCCAGTTGTTTCACGTCAAAACAAAATATCCCCTACTCTTTTTTGTGTGCAATAGTATATATATCCTGCCATTTCTGTGTATCATATACACCCTGTGTTGGTTTTCCTTGGCTAATGTCGACATTTCCGAAACGCGGTGGGAAAGAAATGAAGACGAATCATTTTAGAAATATGAAATCTGATTGGCCCAAGAACCCACGCATTCATAATAAGTCGTCACAGTGAGGAGTGAATGTCACTTAAATTATCGTTCGGGCGCAAACTAAGAGCCCCGGTACGCCATTCTTGTACAGGAGTCGGCATAACGAAGGACGGGTGATCAGGTCCTGTTGTCACTTAGTTGATTGTGTGTCATCGTACCCCGACGGTGTGGGTCGTTCATCATGCTACCAAACCACTGGTTTGCCTCCCCAGACGGTTATCTATAACGCGTACTGGCTGACTGCGGGAAAAACAACAAACCAACAAACGACGGAACTATTTTACATTTTCCAGCATCTTGAACCTGGCCATGTGGCTTCGTTCGAAGATGGTTTCCCTAACCGGAATTACTGGTTGTTAGTATCTTTCGACAATAATGCCAAACATATATCTGGGCATCGGATATCAGACCACTATTATTTTCTTGTGTTTTTTCCCATGTTTGTATTGCCCAAAATGTTTGGGATAAGTTATAATTTGTTTCTACCTTTAACAGACTCTTCAAAGACTTGTAGATAATGCTGGTTGTCAAGGTTGTCAGAAAGTGTTAGACCTCATTTTCTTCACATAATGCTTTCATTTAAGTTTGAGTTTGAGTTTGAGCCTGAGAAATGTTTAACATTAAATGATAAATTCCTTCTACGCGCGATTTAAAAGTTTAGGATCTCTTTGCATTGTTTTATATTACAAGATATTAGGAAGAACAAAGACATAGACTATTCCAATATTATATGAACATTGTAAATCTGAGTCTATTGAAGACGAGATTCATGTCCTGTTAATCTGCGATGTCTTTGCTTCCCAAAGAAAATGTATCCGTGCATCAACAAGTAATGTACAATTTACTTAACCCAAATGGTGTAAATATAAATAAGTCAGTTGCTATCTTTATCACACACATTTTCTATAAGATGTCAAAGCGTTGTTAATTAAGCAAATGTCATGTCCGATACGTGACTACAACTGTGTTGTGTTCATTCAATTGCGTTCAGGACCGCCTCTGTGGTCAAGTGGTAGAGGGTCCGCCCAAAGGTCCGGGGTTCGATCCCTGACCGCGTCATACTAAAAGACGCTAAAAGATGGAACCCTGTCTGGCGCTTGGCATTAAGGGGATACCAAAAGACGTTGAAGGATGGTACGTGTTGTTACCCTGTCTGGCGCTCGGCATTAAGGGGCTAAAAGAAGGACTGTTCGGCTCGGAGTCAGCAAACTGTGTCTGGGTGGGGTATTCGTGTTAAACTGCGGCATGGTATCTCAATGAGCTAGCACTATAAATCGGCATCAGTCCTGACGAGTACAAGCAGCCACACACAGACATACATGCATGCACGTCGCTATATAAGTGCAATAATCTTCGACGCGACGTTAAACCCCATTTCACCTCACCTCAATTGTGCTCAAGACTGAAATACTGAATAAACACGTCTGATTCTCAGGATGGTGAACGCCATGACTGCCAGATTGATGGTTGCAGTTGCATCAAATCAAACGTAATATCAAAACATATACACAAAGTATACCGACTCTAATTGTATGCTTACAACTCAAATGTTGATTGTTTGTTCGTCGGAGTCGATGCCTACCTTTTTCATTTACGACGATATTTCATGATAGCACACACATATATGATTATATAGATAAAACCGTATTTTTAAAACTTTGTTTACGGATCCGTCAAAATTCAAATCAGCATCACACATACGTCGACAGTAAATAATAAAATATAAAAATATTCGACAGGAATGCTGAAATGGAACTGTTTCAGTGCATTTGGTAATACTTGAAAGCACAAGACTACAGTCTGGTGTTTTATTAAAGCTATTATCTAAAAGACTAGAACCAATTTGACCAGTCTGGGTTATTTTTATTTCCACCTTTCGACTCAAACGCTGTAAAATAAAACATCTGACCAAAATACCTCCCCCCAACCCCCCACCCCCACCCCCAGGTACCAGGTAAAATTAGGTAATGCTGTGTTAAATATATTCTTTGACAATAGGAATTGTATGCATAAATTCATCAAGAGCAGACTTTTCATAAGATAATGAAGAATTTGTTTGTATGAGAACGAATGAAGTGATTTGTGGTCTTTTACAAAAGAACAATAATTAAGCGTCGACAATGTTTCACTTTTTACCAAAACATTCATGCAAAAATAATTGGTTTGTGAACTTAACATATACTGACATATATTTACACTAATAACATACTTAATAATCTTAGAAACAACCACGTGTTCCTTCTAAATGTATTACGAATCACGTATGTAGCTGTAACTGCCTTTAATCCTTTCAACAGCAAACTCATACTAGAGTAACGTTTTTCCCCTGAAGAAGGGCTTCATTTGTTAAATGGGTAAGTGAGTTAACATCCTCGGTTCTTCAGGTTATTATATCTCAATTATATACTAGTATTGATAAATAAGAATCGTTTCGAAAATAACGCAACCTCCTCAATCTCTCTTAGCACATAAAGTTCCTTTGCTCTTGAGTGTAACTTTTGTACGGCTGTATCTAGCGACATGTTATTTGAAATCCGACTGAAAATAAGTAAGCTACGGTAGCGAAAAGGTCCAGGGTATTTATCATAGAATGGAGATATAATGCCCTGGACAAACGAGGACAGTAAGCTAAAGGCGCTTTGTGAAGTAGGTGATCTGTGTAGAAAAGTCTTTGTTTCAGTTAGATTGTCGACATATTATTTCGAACTGCCTCATATATTTCTTCAAACACCTAGTTTTTAGTAGAAACGCCTTGGAATAAATGTTGCAGTCTGTCACGATTGCCTATGGCAAACAAGATTGTGATAAGTGAACCGAGTCCAATTGTCAGTGTCACCCAACTCGGCGCCTTGGCTTTCCGTCTCACAGATTTCTTCTGGCGTGTTTGATTGGTGGTTAGAATGGCAAGGTCGTCTGGCGTCACAACTTCCGGTTTGATTATCCTTAGCACTTCCGTCGCCGCTCTCAACCCCGCCTGAACAGCGCCGTTCATAGAGCCAATCCAAACAGTAGCGGTCTCCGTCCCTGCGAAATGGACCCTGAAAGAAAAAACATTTTGGAAGGGGTAGAATGTTATAGAAATGAACATCAATTTTTCAAATGCATGGTATTGACTCTAGCAGCTCCAAACATAAACAAATCTAGTCTGACAGAACTGAACAGCTTGTAAGCATCCTGCTCTTCGCTTAACCAACTGACCGACACAATATCATACCAAAATTAAATAAAAAAATTATATACACAAATACATTCATATTTTCATGTTATTATGTATCTATCAAGTTACCGGTCTTCTGCCCATCGAACCAAAGCTTCTGGTGACGCCATTGACTGTTGCAACTAGGATAACAACTCACTTGCCGAAAGGTTGACGGAGTGCCTTGTTGTAGTACATCATCGCTCCAGGGTTGGCGACGCACAGAGGACCCCCGTCGGTATAGGACTCCTGATTCCAATCCCTTTCCGCGTAGTCCACGTAGCCGAAGACGTCGGGCCCGAAGAATCGGGAAAGGGATTCAAGTACACCGCGTTTCCTCTCCTCCAGCTGCCATGATGCAAAAGGGTGAGTGAGTGAAAATATCTTTAACCGTATTCCAGCATTATTACGGGGACACCGGAAATGGACATTGTATCCATGGGGGGGGGGGTCCAAGTACCCGGCTTGACTTGGCTTCATGTTGAAAGTGAAAGTTTAAGCTTTACAGAAGCACTCAGAACCAAACAATTTACTTCCATATAATTATCGAGACCTTTATTCCTTATTATTACATTACGTGACATACGGCATAAATATACATTATTGAAGAGATTATTCTTGGTATATAATGACTAACAATTGACCTACAGTCCAACAAAGGAGCTCACATGCCAACGTTCAGTTGATGCTTGGACAATGGTAACTTCGGTAAAGGTAACCTTAAGTAATCATAGGGACATCGTAACACTCATATGTGCACACGAATAATCAGGTGAAAAACAACATCCACTGACGACATCCACTGTCGACAAGTGACATTCTGAAATGAAATACTGAATATCAATCAAGTCATGGAATAGAGTATACTATACTTTGTTGTCAGCAATATTTCAGCAATCTTCCAGCTAAATGATAGCAGTCATTAAATAATCTGGACCAGGCAAACCCGTGATTGATATTATGAACAACGTCCCAGGCCGTCGGGGTACGATGACACGCAACCAACCAAGGGACCCAGCCAGCCACCCGACCCATGCAGTCTTACGACAAGCATAGGTTGCTGGGGACCAGTTCTAACCCGAATCATGACTTGGTTAGTAAAGAAGAGAAAATGTTAGAAAGCGCCCTTGTAATCTGACCTGCAGTTGACCCCACTGAACTGCTTGATGACCGCCGATAAAGGCGACGATGGCGGGGTTGTCGTCAGCGGAAGTCGCGTCACAGGCGAAGCAGAGAGGACCGGAGTCGCACCTGGACACTGTACTTTGCCCCCCACTGGACAGAATCTCACCCGACCACCCCCGGTCTCGCCAGAACGACTGGAATACGGAGCGACCATTAGCATCTATAATTGTGTCCCAGCATCGTGTATATAGCATGTTCTAAACAATTCATTCTTGAATCAAGCTCGTACTGAAAATGTCACAGGCATAAAACGATGGATTCCATTAATTATACTTACTTTGTACAATTGTTCACCCGAGTGCCCTGTCATTTGTACACGGTATCATACAAGATTTGTATTTAACTATCCTTGATCTTTAATGATAAATTTCAGAACATATAACTGTCCTATTTAGATTTAGATTATTTGTGAGTGCACCCTGCTCCCCTCATACGCACCTCTTTGAAGGTGAGAAGAACTGTGATCCTGTTGCTGAGCGGAGCCCGGCTTATGTAGTCTCGCTTGCATATTGGCAGATTGGGCTCGAAATGAACCTTGCCTGGAGAGGAGAGGTGAAACAAATACAGCCTCAGCTGGGACAAGAGGAATCAGACATTGACTTCGTATGTACTTGAGAGTGATCTCATGTGAATTTATATGACTGCGAGGCAAAGCCAAAGAAATCTAAGACGTCAGGTAAGCATGACAAAGATAGTCAGACAGAAAAAGCATAGGTATCTTCCATACAAAATAGATGTGTCAATGCTACAAGGTACAGATGGTAGGGGTGATATAAGGTACAGATGGTATTGGTGACACATGGTGAAGGGAGTACTGACGATAAAGGTTTAATATGATATAGTTGAAACACAGCTACACCGTGTAGCCGAGTTCACCACTGTTTGTCTGTTTCAACAGACAGTCCAGCCTGAACATTCTCTGGCGTTGACGTTCTATATTATGATAGGGTAAAGATGATACTAAGGATGGTGTGGTGAAACCGTAAAGATGATACTAAGGATGGTGTGGTGAAACCGTAAAGATGATACTAAGGATGGTGTGGTGATACCGTAAAGATGATACTAAGGATGGTGTGGTGAAACCGTAAAGATGATACTAAGGGTGGTGTGGTGAAACCGTAAAGATGATACTAAGGATGGTGTGGTGAAACCGTAAAGATGATACTAAGGATGGTGTGGTGATACCGTAAAGATGATACTAAGGATGGTGTGGTGAAACCGTAAAGATGATACTAAGGATGGTGTGGTGATAACGTAAAGATGATACTAAGGATGGTGTGGTGATACCGTAAAGGTGATACTAAGGATGGTGTGGTGATACCGTAAAAAGATGATACTAAGGATGGTGTGGTGATACCGTAAAGATGATACTAAGGATGGTGTGGTGATACCGTAAAGATGATACTAAGGATGGTGAGGTTATACCGTAAAGATGATACTAAGGATGGTGTGGTGATACCGTAAAGATGATACTAAGGATGGTGTGGTGATAACGTAAAGATGATACTAAGGATGGTGTGGTGATACCGTAAAAAGATGATACTAAGGATGGTGTGGTGATACCGTAAAGATGATACTAAGGATGGTGTGGTGATACCGTAAAGATGATACTAAGGATGGTGTGGTGATACCGTAAAGATGATACTAAGGATGGTGTGGTGATACCGTAAAGATGATACTAAGGATGGTGTGGTGATACCGTAAAGATGATACTAAGGATGGTGTGGTGAAACCGTCAAGATGATACTAAGGATGGTGTGGTGATACCGTAAAGATGATACTAAGGATGGGGTGGTGATACCGTAAAGATGATACTAAGGATGGTGTGGTGATACCGTAAAGATGATACTAAGGATGGTGTGGTGATACCGTAAAGATGATACTAAGGATGGTGTGGTGAAACCGTCAAGATGATACTAAGGATGGTGTGGTGATACCGTAAAGATGATACTAAGGATGGGGTGGTGATACCGTAAAGATGGCAAGACATTGGTGACAAGGATTCTCACTGAGTAAGTTAGGCGGGATGGTGACGATAGCCCGTTTACACTTGAATGTTGTGCCGTGTGTTGTTGTGATGACGACTCCCTCAGACTCCTGAAACATCGGTAATGATAACAGAGGTAAAGTGAGGTGAAATTGGGTTTAACGTCGCGTTCAAGATTATTGAACTTATATAGCGACGTGCATGCACGTGTGTGTGTTTGTGTGGCTGCTTGTACTATTCCGGACTGATGCCGATTTATAGTGCTAGCTCACTGAGATACCATGCCACAGTTTAACATAAATACCCCACTCAGACACAGTTTGCTGACTCCGAGCCGAACAGTCCTTCTTTTAGCCCCTTAATGCCGAGCGCCAGACAGGGTAACAACACGTACCATCCTTCAACGTCTTTTGGTATGACGTGGCCGGGGATCAACCCCGGACCTTCCGCCCTCCGGGCGGACGCTCTACCACTAGACCACGGAGGCGGTCCAATGATAACAGAACATACAATAGAATGTACACATACTTTCATTCTACAAGTCCACGAACTAGTTTTGGTGCATTCATTTCATCGTAAATGTATTAGAGATGTAAAAAGACACTCAAGTTGTTTACCTGCTTGATGTTGGACACTGGCTGTTTCAACATGACACTGTTGTCTCCTATTGCTTCGACCAACTTCTCACATATTTGTTGAGCTCCTCCCTGAAACGCAGAAGTGATAGACAATGTACAAAGGTAACGTGAAAAGTAATTTTACACCGCTTTATTGTCGCAATGTCAGGGCGGGGAACACCAGAAATGGGCTTTACCAAATGTACCCCATCTTCCCGAGGCAAGATTTTAAAAGTCAAGTTGCCACTGGACTTTTACAGTCAGTTAACTCTCTTGCCTCGGGAAGATGCATGTACCCATGTGGGGATACAACGAAGAATCATCATATCTTGTTGAAACATATATTATTGGCAAAATACAATAGGATTGGACAAAAGCTATCCACATTATAAGATTCCATTTTTGGCATATCATTACACTCACACGTTTGCTTTATAACATTATATCAAAGATGTGCATCTGTTTAAAAAACTGGTTTCGAATATACATTTGTACATTAATTGGTTGTTTATTCAATCGAAACAAGCACAGCGTCGTTACAGACACTTCCGCGACCACAAGTAACATCTCTTTTCACCTTAATCTTCAACTCCTGTCCCGAATCCTCTGTTTTCTGCACGAGGTTGTCAAGGCCATCTGCGGAATTGACGTACATTAGGAAGAACAGAAGCGACACCTGGGACGCCTCCACTCCCAGAATGCACCGCACAACAGCGTCGATAGCATCAGCGGATCCTGTTGCACAGACATTACAAGGGTGATACTGGGATACGATAACGTATGTGACGATGTTGATGTGTCATCCTCGATTATCAATTTTAGAATGATAGTCCTTGGCGACGATTCGGTGTAGATCCTTGAAACGGTATAAGGTTCTTTACCGAAACGTTGCCTTTGCAGTAAATAGAGAAGTTGTAAACCATAACTTGTGTCTACTTTGTAACCCACCTGCTGTCCAGAGAGTGTTCTGTTTGAAGGTTTCTAGCGTCATGGAGTCCCACTTCCGGGCCTTGTTGCACGAGAACGGGTCGTCTGCTGGTACCTGGCGTCTCATGGCATCTATCTGAAAACGGAACGAAAATCCCTTACACTTGTACATAGATTGTTACTTGGTGAAGGACACGGGGACTGAACGTCAACATGTTGAGAACCAGAAGCGTCTTGTGTATGATCCAATCTTAATGATTTTACGTTACCACTTGGGCTTTCAACTTCTGTCCACAAAGTATATACTTTGCTTTCAAAATAATATTCTGCATCTACATGGAACGATTAATCTGATACAATAATGTTCAAACCTTCTGATTGAGATCTCGACGGTGGAGTTTTCACAGATAGTAATTGAACACTGTTGTATCGAACTCGAAGGTACAAAATTTTACTTATCCTAGTGTTCGGCATTCACATCATCTTGAGAATATGGCGTGTTCCATCCAACGACACAGTCGAGAATTCGACATAATGATGACTACTAATTGTCAGATTGTCGTTATCCAGTAGGCCACTGCTGGCTTTTGAAAAAACACGTAGGGACACACCTTTAAGTATTCTGGGGTGAGGTGAGGGGGTGTGGGCGAGGGCGGGGAGTTTCGTCAGGGCCAGAATATTTCCTTCGTTTCTGCTTCAAGACATACAATTTTTATCTCGAAAGCAACAGCCAAAAACGCATGGCTGTTTCACGAACATTTGTTTTGGCAAAGACTGAGACAAAAATATTTTTAAGTATTTTCGGGAAAAGATTATTTTTAACAAGATCACATAATTGAGGTCTGCAAAGGTGAAATAAAAAGCACCTCAACCGCCAGCTTGTACCGCAACCGTACCGAATTGACCTTACCTTGTTGATGAACCTTCTTAGGTCCAGCAGTTCCAGGTAGGACAGGGTGGGTAGGGTGGAGGTGTAGGTGCGGATGCTGTGGTCATCCAACTGGACAAACTTGCTGCCCTCACTGTACTGGGGGTACGTCTCCAACTCCAGCTCCGACAGCAACGACATGATGTGGGTCTGGCATCTGGGGACAGTTGTACTGACTTAGAACAATGCCGGGACCGAAAAGACTCCAAGTGCCCCATGATCGTCGTAAGGGCTGTCGCGTGAGGATTGGATGTATGTCGTTGTGACAACGTGTGGCATTGGTCATGCTGTGGATCGTTGATCATACTATCAACCATTTACTCCAATCTCATTTAAATCAGATCTGAGTTCTCGCTGCCGCTTTGTTTAGCGATACCGAGAACTAAAATCTGATTTTAATGAGATTGCCATTTACTCCTAGATAAGGGTTTTCTCATTTTGAGTACCTTATAGTCCATTACTGAGCGGTGAAACGTCCACATTCGATCATTTACAAGCTGCTCATCTTCCCGAGGCAAGAGTGTCCACAAGCCTATATCATAGCTTAGGCTAGTGAACACTAGTGAACAAGATGCAAGCTGCCGTGCTATAACTATACAACCTGCCCACCCGGCCTCACCCGTCCACCCATTTTCACCCGCCCATCTGGTCTCTTCTGTTCACAAAGTTTCACCCGCCAAACCAGTCTCTACTGTTCACCCAAGTCTCACCCGTCCACCCAGTCTCACCTGCCCACCCACTGTGAACCTAGGTCCCAGACATCTGTTCCTTCAGTCCCATCGGTCCCAGCAACTGTCTTCAGGGGAACACTGTACGTGCGCCCGCCAACTCGATCTGCAAATACACACGTGGACAAACGTAACACAGTAAACGACGGTTATAACGAACTCAGCGTTATAACCGTTGTTTGTTATAAGCATATATTCAGCAAATGGACGGGACAAAAAAAGAGTTCGTTATATCCGTCAGTTCGTTATAAGCGTGTTCGTTATAAACGTTGTTTACTTATGTAGTTCTTTCCGGCTAGTTCAGTTCGGTGAGTGTATATACATGAGCAAAGATTCAGGACATCGGAGCATGATGTCGCGCAATCAGCAATAATGCACAGACGTTGACCTGAGGTGATCTTTATAACCACCCACACTTTAGTATTGTCTTCTGATAGTCGTAGCTCTAAGATCGGGGGCCGGTCGGGTAGCCTAGTGGTTAAAGCGCTCGCTCGTCACGCTGAAGAACCGGGTTCGATTCCCGACATGGGTACAATGTGTGAAGCCCATTTCTGGTGTCCCCCGCCGTGATGTTGCTGGAATATTGCTAAAAGCGGCGTAAAACCATACTCAATCACTCACTCACACTAAGATCGGATTTGTGGAACGGGTTCACAATTTATTACAGTCGAATCTTTCAGACAGGTTCAGGTTCCAGGGGACGAGTCATACCCGGGAAAATCCAAATTAGATTTAAGTTACCATTATCATCATACTGATTCTTTTCTTGTAACGTTCAGACTGTTATTAGTTATTATGTTTGCACCCACTATCAACATTCCACCCCAAGCTTGTAACGCGCACTTCACTGCATGGGTGTAAGTCACCGACAGACGTCTTTGCCAGGTTCCGGTCACCATATTTCAATGGTTGTAACACTATGAGTGTATTTGTGCAGCTACAATTAGAGCACAAAGCACTGAAGCTCACCTACTGAGGAGGAGTGAATGGCAAGATGCCGAACTTGCGATGAGATAAACTACTCATCTCCAGCAACTGGTATCACAACATTCACATCAAATATGGAAAATGACCATTTGTAAATTTTGGTTTTAAAGTAGAAGGGATGGACATGCGTTGGAACCTCTTTTGAACTCGAGTTTCTAAGGGTCATCATATATATATATCGACTTATCCGTAGTGTGAGACAAGGGTAACGTCAATAATAGACCGTAACACTGTAAGGAGTTTAGATCTGAAGAAGACAAAAATGTAAGTCAACCACCGCAATAAAATACACGGAGACATCTTTATATCACTCTGGTAATTGTTTCATTTAATTCTTATAATGAGGGTATAAACGTCCTTAGCTTGACAGGGGGCCCAGTCATCGCCACAGTTCGCTTTGCAGAGTTGCGTCCCTTGGTTCATGAGTTCGAATCCCCGATTATGTTTCTAGGTTTGTTAACACCATACCCGTGCTCGTGGGTTTCACCTGGGCTGACACGCCGTATTAAAACTGGGATACTGTTCAACCCAACTCACTCACTCACGCTTAGCGTAACCGCAAAAATAGTTAAGGGTTCAGAGGGTAGGTCCCAGAGATATACCAAAATCTTATGACAAAACGTGTTGCACCTTTTACAGGTAAGTTAATTTCATCTTTTAACTTAACTTTTCATTTGAAAATATGACGACAGTTTCACTATCAAACATGTTTTCTCTGCTATGGAAGTGTGTTTGTTTGTTGTTTAACGCCTCACTCAGCAATATTCCAGCTATATGACGGCGGTCTGTAAATAAATCGAGACTGGGCCAGACTGGCGTTCCGACGTGTTGGGTTATCACTGCTCCACACCTCCTTTGCACAGACTGAATAAGGACGGATTCTGTCCTGTGGAATTCTCCTCCACTCGTCCTGCAAAGCGTTGGACAGTGTATGTGGCGTATGTTGATGTTGACGTACACGTCTGTCGAGTTCGTCCCACAGATGCTCTATCGGGTTCAGATGCGGAGATCTGGAAAGCCATGTCTTCTCGGGGTTGGAGAAGAAATCGTGATTCATCACTTAACCATGGACTCGAATTCATACATGTACGGTGTTGCTCCATCGCATACTTTGTCGTCGGTACAAACGTCACAGTACAAGGACAAATACCAGTCTTCTGGGTCTAAGTCCCACCTCTCGCAGACGATTCCTGAGTGTTTGTTCCGATACCCTTTTCCAACCAGGCATAAACCTGCAGTCTCGGTGGCAGTAGCATGTCGATGACGTTAGTAGGTGAAAGAACCTGATGTAGCGATCTTGTGCAGACGTGGAAACTTCTCGGACGATCTAGGGCCGAAATGAGGCGGGTTTTGCGATCCTATAAACGAGATATGGTGCTCTGGTGCACGTTGAAATGCAACTGCAGCCTGGGACTCTCCAGCTTCAAGACGTCCTCTCGCGATGTTGCGATTGGCAGCATTCAATCTCGGCATTTTCCCACTTGAAGTAAGTCGACAAACGTGAGACAAAATGTTGACTGACGTTTGATCTTTAAAGTCATTGTCACTGCACATGATTGTTTCAACTTGCACGTGCATTCTGCTTTAAATTCCCTTTCCATAACATTTTCATGCAGTCTTATGCTGTGTAAAGCTACCAAAGTTTGAAGTTTAAAGCGTGTATTACCACTCCCAAACCCTACATATACTAACACACTACATAAAATTGGTCGGGCCTCTTGACACGACCGATCAGTGTCGTCGCAGGTGAAGTGGGATTCTTGAACAGACCTATTTATATATATCTTAAGGTGGAACATGTGTTTATCTATAACTCCAAATGCAGTGCACAAGTGGGAAGTATCGTCAACAGGTGCATTGTGTTGCCTCAACAGAATACAGAATAATGGCTATGTTAATGCGGTTGCCTGAGAAATAGCGTGGGTAGGTTTATGTCTACGTTGGTATGCGGAAGATCAACAGATTGAACCTCTCATGATCAGGGTATTAGGTGTGTGTTGAAACACAGATAACACGCTACTTCTCTGTTTACTAATTCCCTTTACATGCCTGATAATGTTATTTTTAATAGTCTTTTATTTATATAAATCAGCAAGGCTGTGAAACTGTTTAGTATGGGAATTTATTTTTGAACTGAGGTGGAAATATGTAACTTCGGCCATTATCAATCAAACTGATAAACTAACATGATAATCCAATATTAAATGCATTTTCGATATTTATTGGTATTGATGTTTATCAGTTTGAATTTCAACTCTGCTGATTCAGGAAATATAACAAAAAATATTATACACTAAACAATGGTTATGACGAACTCGAAGGGACAACTAATTTTAGTTCGTAATAACCGCAGTTGTGTTATAAGCATATATACAGCATTTATACAACAAATAATCGGGAATAAACAATAAGTTCGTTTTATCGGTCAGTTCGCTATAAGCGTAGTTTACTGTATATGCCTGTCCATGTTGTAATAGTTGTTTCAAGGTCCGTGTGTGTGGTCGTTGGTGTGTGTGTGTGTGTGTGTGTGTGTGAGAGAGAGAGAGAGAGAGATAGTGTGTGTGTGTGTGTGTGAGTGAGTGTGTGTCTGTGCGGGGGAGGGGTGGGCCTATTTTTAAAACACATTACATGTTATCTGCACCCTGGCATAGTATTTGCACCCAAACCCCTTTTTTCAAAATCCTCGATCCGCCTTTGTATGCTGAGATATTATTAGAGACATATATGTTCAAATTACTTCTGTAACTTATTTACTTACTCTGTTCACGTTTATGTATGAAACATGATGAATTAAAACCAAGAATCTCACCTTTCGCCTCTATCACCAGCACACGAATGTTCGGTTCTTTTTTCTTCAACCTATGGGCTGCAGTCAAACCAGATATCCCAGCGCCAACAATAATGGCGTCGAAAAGATCAGAACTCATGTCGATAATACTGTTTCTTATTCATTTCCTGTCGTTATGAATAAACACAGCCAGTGAATCGCTGGAGGTATGACAAGGATATATTTCACGAGCAAAGTCCGCTTCAGCTCTCTCCATCGCCATAATCATGTTTTATCTCTAGTCACATGACCGAGATCGTCTGCTGCAAACGTGAAGATTCGCTCGTTTTTACGCTATCACGGGAATAGGGCTACAAGATACGAGAGGTACTTGGGCTGTGGTTCGTTTTTATCTAAGGCTGCTGTTATAAACAATGACATGGGTTTTTTATAGTAATGGTCGGGTTGTGATCTACCGTGGAACGTGGACACGTTTGTTGAACTATTTGCTTAAAGGGGCGTTATGCTACTCAATATAACGTTCTGTGGCAATGAGACCAAGAAACGGACATAACTTTCTCAACGCAGTCATGGCCAGATATATGTCGGTGTTGGTAGCAGGTCAAGCAATTTATAACTTGTTTAACGCTTGAGTGTGACTAGCCTTGTGGCTAAAACGAGGGGTCATCATGTAGAACCTGGGACTATTCCCCAAATGAGTGTAATTCAGGGGCGCAACTTGGCTAATTTTAACTGTAAATTTAACTAAATTTACAAGGGTTCGCGAGGGGGGCATGCTCCCCTGGAAATGTTTAAACATTCGATGCTCTTAAACTCTATTTCCTGCATTTTGGGACCGTTTATGTTAGATTTTATTTGTAACAAATATTGGTAATTTATTTGTTATAATGACAAAGAAATTTAAACAATCATTAAAACGAATCGATATTACTTTTGTGTGTTTTTTACATTTTCATTCGTGTGCGTCAAGATTCCGATTTTCAAGTTAGACAATAAATAGCATGTTCGATGAGGGCTTTACACTTCGCACTCAAAGTTCAATTGAGCACGGATCTTACAGATGACGTACCAACACTTCAACAATGTCGGCAGCCCACAGCCAGTGTATGATCAGTGGGTGGATGAATAACATGACCTTGCGGATTGACCGGTACTCACGCTATCGACCACTAATTTGCGTAATCGAAAATGACCGACACGTGACAATACCTGATACCCCCGTCCTTATATACATGCAAGGAAATATATGATCGTGGGTTCGAATTCAAGATTCGCCCTGATAATGTTTCTACTGTTGTCAGCACCCCGTACGTTGGTTCCACCGAAGTCGTAAACGTCTAAGACCCGCATCAATCGGGCTTGCCTCTCACATCAATTTGAAACGCCCTGATATACTAGTAACTGAAAAATGTTCCGATTGTTCAAAGTGGCCTTAAACCTGACTAGCTACCGCAGACGTCTGGTTTGGTTTGGTTTGCTGTTTTACGCCGCACTCAGCAATATTCCAGCTATATGACGGCGGTCTGTAAATAATCGAGTCTGGACCAGACATTCCAGAGATTTACATCATGAACATCGATCCACGCAATTGGAATCGATGGCATGCATCAACCAAGTCAGCGAGCCTGACCATCCGATCCCGTTAGTCGCCTTTTACAGATGACGTCTGACGGTGCGAACGTTGAATTTCATTCTGTCTCTCTTGACACCAATAATAGTCATAAATATAGTCATGTGATAATGAGTTGACGTGACATGATTAAGTATCAACCCTCAATCATTACTGGTTATCGTCAACTCTCGTTATCTCCACGCAGGCACAGATACTCACGGGAAACTCACAGAGGTCAAGGTCGTGGAGATGCCTTTTCATCGTGACACAAACATCACTGATTAATATAGGCTGATTATTACTCAACAAACCGCAGCTGTTCAATGAATCAACCAATCAAAAACAGACTATCACATGAAGTATGAATGTTGAATCATAGATCAGCTATCACAAACTGCCTCGCTCCTTGCGACCTGTTACAAAGCTAGACGGTCTCCGTGGTGTTGTGGTAGAGCGTCTACCCGGCGAGCGGAAGCTCGGAGGTCATGAATGACGTTATCATAATGTCCGCTGTGGCGGACATATTGAAAAGCAGGCTTGATCAGATTCGAACGACTTGAACAAATTCAGGAGTTATCATTGGTGGGAACTGTGTCCTGACAAGTCTGCATATCTATGGATTGTAGTTGCTCGCAACTTTCCCCAATTGCTGCTTCCGACAAGGCTATGCTTTAATTGCAATACTTCAATGACTTGGGTCCAAAATGGAAAGTCATCCAATGATGCCAGTTTAGCAAAGCGGTCATGGGGTGAGTGAGTGAGTATGGTTTTACACCGCTTTTAGCAATATTCCAGCAATATCACGGTGGGGGACACCAGAAATGGGCTTCACACATTGTACCCATGTCGGGAATCGAACCCGGGTCTTCGGTGTGACTAGCGAACGCTTCAACCCCGAGGCTACCCAAGCGCCCCCAAAACGGTCATTGATTTCACAGGTGAGATCATGACTTTGCCTGTTTTGCTTAACACCAAGGGGAAAACACTGAATGTCCCTGAAAAATACTGTATGTCCCTGATGTTTCTGGGAAATACTGTATGTTTCTAGATAAAACAGCTAGTGTGCCTTTCATTTCCTCAATGAGGTGTTTGCTCTTGTCAATCATTATTCAAGTACATTGCAGGTCTGGTTTAACTGTTGCGCGACCTCACACAATCGCATTAAAATCAGATCTTAATTCTTTATTTAAGGGCAGCGAGAACTTAGATCTGATTTTAATGAGATTGGACCTCAGACAATATTGGTCCAACACAAGTGATCTGAATATTTCAAACACATTAGATATGCAATATAACGTCTGCCACTGTATTTTTCAATATGAAAGTGTGCTCTTATCAAAAAGCATTTTATTCCATTAAACTAGACAGTGATATGTGACACGGTTCACTACCTGATATGAAATACTATTCAAATAAATCATATGAATTTGTAAAACAATGCTGAATTGGACATAAATTTTCAGTACATACATAAAGGGAAACAGACACATCACTGCTTTTCCAGCAATATACATAAAATATATCTGTAGAAACTTCACACAAAACTATACCATCCATAACAGACTAAGGCCAGCTAGGAATCAGTACTAATAATTGCATTTACTATGTACTATACTACTTCATGGAGGAATCACAGATACAGATCTGATTGGTGGGATTGGTGTGATTTGAAAAAATACTATGTCTATGTAATACATGCCCCGACATCTCATTTGGTACCGACATCGACATCGCATGAAATTCTCAATAACAGCCACAAATCTGAAACACACAATGTTTATGGCATGGTGAAATACAAAGTTACCAGCACTAGTTTTCCGAAGCACTCTATGTTTCACCTGGAACAGGCTAGTGGGGACCAATTCTAACCCGGAATCCCCACAAGGCCGTATGAGGGAATCACCTACCTCCTGTCTTGATACAGAATATAAGCATCAATCAATATATGACAGACATATGTTTAATATTGTCACGTGTTAAATCATGAAAAATTGGCACATCACTTAAATTAAATTAAGAATTTGTATAGCACATTTTTAAATTAACACCTGTTCAAATGTGCTTAGACCATGATTGATCTAGTCAAAGGTTGTCTTGAAGAGACAGGTTTTGAGTGTCTTTTGATTTTTTAAGCTTTTCTGTTTCTCGATTTCTTGTAGCCGATTGTTCCATAGCAATGGGCCAGCATGTTGAAATGACCTATCGCCATATGTTTTTGTATGTGATTGTGGCACCACTAGCAGATGTTGATGGTGGATATATTCAATATCTTGGGTTATTAAATACAAATTTGACAGTAGCATACATTTAGCCTCCTAAATTAAGACTCCACTTATTGGCACATAACTAGGAAATTAGCAGCCAAAGGCTCTCAAGCATGACTTACTATTTTCTTTCATATTTGCGAAAATACCTCACAATAAAAAAGGCGGATCAATAAGAACACACAAAACACATGACTATTTCATACAGATCCACTTGAACGTCTAGTTCAGGTGAGCTAACAGAAGAAAATTTCATTTTCAACAAACTAGTCATGGATAGCTAGAGCTAATCAAAACAAACAAAAGACAAACTCTTGCTGAGGAGACATTTCTTCAATGACTAATCTTGCTAATATGAATGAAACGATAAAATTTAAGGCTGAGTTTTTTTCAATTACCAAATTTTGTAAAAGGAAAAAAACAACAATTTTGAGACCAGTCTTCCAAACTATTTTGTGAACCACTTTCAGTGACCAAAAAACTGCCAAGCAGGTCAATATTAGAAGGGAACTAACTGACTGTTCATTTCAAAATGACATTTCAACGGAACCATGACAAATATATGTACATATCCTGAATTCCAACACGGGGGATTTAAACATGTCATATGATTAAGTGAAATAATAAAGAAATTAGTTAGTGAATTTTACACAAAAATAACTGCACACCAAAATTCTGTTGACCTGGATGACACTCTTCATAGTGAAGCCATCATGCTGAACAGATTTTGGGTTTAACAAATCATTATCAGATAGTAATATTAGTATTATTAATACTGACATCGTCAGCTTCAATCTTTAGAAAAAGATGTCCAATTCTGCCATTGTCTATTGACATCAGTTTAGCAGAGTGTAGTGTTAATATAGGACTATTACTGGCTGAGGATAACGAACCTAATAAATGTTTACCCAACTCAGGCTTTAGACTAGTGGTTGTAGTCGCAGGCTGCAGCAGTATCTGTCTGGGAGACTGAGTTTCCAGAATAACAGGGTCCAGACTATCCAGGGGTCCCTTTGCACATACTGCTACGGGGTACAGGGCTTGAAATAATGTGACAAATATGTGACGAGTCTTCGAGGCGTGCTGTCAACACTGATTCATACAAACTCCCTATGTTAATAATAGTATGTTTATCACGGTACAAACATACACACATTGTAAAATCCATACGACATCACTTTGGGCTTATTAATGACAAAATGGCTCCTCTTTTGGACAAAGCAAATCCCATTGCAACACACGCTCCAAGACAAAGTGTCAGTTTTATCCAGGGAACATTAGCCTTGATCTTTGGGGTTATGATTCGAGAGGCATAAAGGTCATGGTCATCCTGTGATACAAGGTCAGGGTGAATGTGAGACAGAACTTCGATGGCGGTGCGGTACCCGGCCTGCACAGCTCCACTCATATACCCACACCACTGAGTCGCCGTCTCCGTGCCGGCAAAGTGGACCCTGGAACAGAGTGGTAAACAGGTGGTACAAAGGCGGTACAAAGGTGGTACAGAGGCAGTACAAACATGATCTTTATATCAATTATTTCAGTAACACTTGGGGGATCCAGGGTCAGACCCAGCAGACAATGTTAACTAAATTGAGGATTGGGTGGTCAGTCTTAGACAAATACTTAGTCTCTGAAAACAAAAACTTTTGACAGAAACAAACAACTCCATTTAAATTGAAGAGGACTCCCACTGAGAAGGAAGATTCAGTGGAAACTCTAGAAGGCTGAGCGGAAGGGGAAAATATGGTTAACAGACTGAGACAGACTAGACCAATCTATGTGACCTACAAGTGTTCTTTGCGTACAAAAGATATACAATATATTCTGTAAAACTTCATGTCTTAATTCAATTCAACTTATGAACAATAACTACAGTATTTAGGAACTGACAGGATATAGATATTTAAAGATATATAAAATAGATCACTGCAAACATTTCACTTGAATGAAGAAGTGTATTTTGCTATTTTCTTGCAATATGAGTTTCAAGATGGTCTAAAAGTAAATATGACCATCAAATCAATACATCATTTTGTTACTGATATTTGATAAAATCATCTCACCCTCATGTCTCTTAATATTAAATATCACAGACTCAACAAGAAAGATCGGAAGCCTTCTACAAGCCTCTGACTTCTGTTACGGTATCGTCTTGTGTTGATGTAGCTGATACAAAAAGATGCTCTGGAGAGATTCTCCATCCACTAACCTGTTCACTGGCTCCCTGAGTCCGGCAGCGAAGTACTGCATGGCTCCTGTCCCCAGACAGCAGACCGGGCCACCCCTGGTGTACGGCTCCACGTTCCAGTCCTTCTCCTGGTACTCCAACACCTCCAGGGCTGACTGGCCAAAATACGTGGACAGTTGATGCAACACACAGTGCTGCCGATCTTCTGCCTGTGTAATACACATTTACGATGTCACCTCAGTGGATAGTCTAACAAAGTTTTACCCATAATTAGCAAAAGTTTGTACATATGAAGAAACAGAGTTTAGGCTTGGCAGAAAAGCCATCAATCGTGTGATCAATTGGAATTATGAGATGAGGTGAGGTGAAATTGGGTTTAACGTCACGTCCAGGAATATTGCACTTATATAGCGACATGCATGTGTGTGAGTGGCTGCTTGTACTAGTCTGGACTGATGCCGATGTATAGTGCTAGCTCACAGAGATACCATGCCGCTGTTTAACATGAATACCAGTCCTTGTTTTAGCACCTTAATGCTGAGCGCCAGACAGGGTAACAACAACAAGTACCATCTTTTAACATCTTTTGGTATGAACGTAGCCTGGGATCAAACCCCGGACTTTCCGCTCTTTCTTCTTTTTTTGAAATATGTCATTGTGAATACAGGGGAATCCCAACAACCCAGTCACTTTCTTACTGGAATACAGTTGAGCTTACTGAGTTCGGAAGGATAAGAGTGAATATAATTGTGTGCCAGAGACTGGGATGAGAAAGCCATGTAGGAAATGGAAGCCATCACGTGCTCAGTCTATCTGCTGCACAATCACAATACGAGGACAATATCGTGCTATTTTCAGCATACATGTTTTTCTACCCATAAGTCCACGTACAAAGTGTTTATATACAAACAGCCATGATGGTTCTGGTGAACAAAGTACAAAGTCCTCTTGTCTGTTTCTGTGACTATACAGTGCTCCCTCGTTATTGTGCTCTTCAATATAGCGCTTACTCCATTATAGCGTGTGGTAAAGCATGGCTCCCAAAATTTACTAACATTTTCAATAAAAAAACCTCAAGTTTTTCAATGACACAATGTTTTCCCCCATCTCAGAAAACATTTTCAGCTGATCACCGCCATCACGTAACACCGGAAATACCAGTCAACAAATCTGAAGTACGCATTTTAACCCAACGAGGGTAGCGTTGTAGTGCGGGATCACTGTACTCACACTGGTTGCTGCCCACTGTACTGCTTGATGTCCTCCCAGGAAGCCCACGAGAGCTGGATTCCCTTTAGGAGACGTAGCATCGTAAACAATGCACAGGGGCCCTGAATCACAACACGGTAACAACGATGGGCCGCCATTAGATACTGCCTCGCCAGACTGACCCTGTTCTCGCCAAAAAGCCTACGGAATAGAAAACGGTTTGTTAAGATATTTCTTGGTTAGACATCTAAAAGAATATAAATTACTGTTCTGAAAATCGATTCTGCAAGGTAGTTTACTAGTCACATCAGTTTTGGGTTGTCTGTACATATACACATATGATATTCAAATTTCTAAAGTTTTGACTTCCAAAAGCCTTGCTATTATATATCCTGCATGTTAGATTGATGATCGATCCTTACCATCCTGTATGTTATAATGATGACGGATCCTTACAATCCTGTATGTTACACTGATGATGGACCCTTACCATCCTGTATGTTATACTGATGATGGATCCTTACCATCCTGTATGTTACACAGATGATGGATCCTTACCATCCTGTATGTTATACTGATGATGGATCCTTACAATCCTGTGTGTTATACTGATGATGGATCCTTACCGTCCTGTATGTTATACCGATGATTGACCCTTACCATCCTGTATGTTATACTGATGATGGATCCTTACCCTTCTGTGTGTTATACTGATGATGGATCCTTACAATCCTGTATGTTATACTGATGATGGATCCTTACAATCCTGTATGTTATACTGATGATGGACCCTTACCGTCCTGTATGTTCTACTGATGATGGATCCTTACCCTCCTGTATGTTATACTGATGATGGATCCTTACCCTCCTGTATGTTATACTGATGAGGGATCCTTACCCTCCTGTATGTTATACTGATGATGGACCCTTACCGTCCTGTGTGTTATACAGATGATGGATCCTTACCCTCCTGTATGTTATACTGATGAGGGATCCTTACCCTCTTGTGTGTTATACTGATGATGGACCCTTACCCTCCTGTATGTTATACTGATGATGGATCCTTACCCTCCTGTGTTTTATACTGATGATGGTTCCTTACTGTCCTGTATGTTATACTGTTGAGGGATCCTTACCCTCCTGTATGTTATACTGATGATGGACCCTTACCGTCCTGTGTGTTATACTGATGATGGATCCTTACCCTCCTGTGTGTTATACTGATGATGGATCCTTACCCTCCTGTATGTTATACTGATGATGGACCCTTACCGTCCTGTGTGTTATACTGATGATGGACCCTTACCCTCCTGTATGTTATACTGATGATGGACCCTTACCCTCCTGTATGTTATACTGATGATGGATCCTTACCCTCCTGTATGTTATACTGATGATGGATCCTTACAATCCTGTATGTTATACTGATGATGGATCCTTACAATCCTGTATGTTATACTGATGATGGACCCTTACCCTCCTGTATGTTATACTGATGATGGATCCTTACCGTCCTGTATGTTATACTGATGATGGACCCTTACCGTCCTGTATGTTATACTGATGATGGACCCTTACTGTCCTGTATTTTATACTGATGATGGATGCTTACCGTCCTGTATGTTATGATGACCTTGATCATGTTACCAAGGGGCATCCTCTTGATCAGCTCCTGTTTTTGTGGGGGCAGTAGAGGGTGGAAGTCGATGTGACCTGTAGGGGACACAATGGAAATTGTGATGTACAAACTACAGCCTTATCATTTACATACTGCTTAATCACCTGTCTGCTGTCCATTTTCCTCAATGGCATTTCCAGATATCGGTTGTAGGCATGCTGTTTGGGAGGGGCATTACACTGACATGATGACTTGTGGCATCCAACACTTAGCTCTTGGGAGCCTGCAGTTTCCCGAGGCAAGGGCGTTAGCTGACTATAAAAGTCCAGTTTCCAACCTTGCAGAACTAGGCTGCAATTTCCGAGCTATTACAACTTATGTCCCTTCTGTGACCCTCCTATTGACCAGTTAGATTCCATCTCTCTATCACCTTTGCTTCAAACAAAATGGCGGCGCCCACTCAAGACAATATGATGGATAATCATAATCCATATTGTAATAAAACAGGTCTTACCTCGTGAAGCGCATTAAATCACTTGAGCACATTATTCAAAAATATGTAAAGATTTGCAAAATATCTGTTGACGCCCAGTTGGCTGTACACATGCTTTGCAAATCTAGTAGACAAATGAAATCTGCACATTGAAATCCATGTTGTTTACAAACCAGATGTCTAGATTGTAACATGATTTTGATTGGACTATGTATAGACTCGTTAGTCCAGCCAAAATATAACTCAGGAATCCCAGCCTAGTTTGGCAAGGATGGAAACTGGACTTTTGTAGTTACCTCCCTTGCCTCAGGAAGACGGGAAAGTGGACTTTTATAGTCAGTTACTTCCCTTGCCTTGGGAAGATGTTGCGCTATGGAGCAGAACAAGTACCAAGAACATTAATGGACTGAGTTTCACTATTCTATTTTGACTGCATCTCTAAGATTAGTATTTAGTTGTTTTTTGAATTAATATAAAACGGATATATATTTGTTGTTTCACCCAAAAGTCAGCAGTTTTCCATGTCTACATCATGTTGGCATGTTATTATTCAAGTCTACACCATGGGATTCTGTTCTCTGGAGGTTGCCAAGCCTCATCAGTCACCATGGGAACCTGGCTTTCTGGTAGTGAGGTCAAATAGGACTAAAATATCATCATCAAAGCAAAGATGTGCAAAACTGTTTATGATTTGGAAGGGAGGTTCTGTTAATAATTGCTCAATTCTTTTGTTGGGAGACATCTGTCAACCACTCTAGTTGCTCACCGAGGGCAGGTGGCGGCACGGCACAGATCACCCTCTTACACTCGTACTTGTGACCGGGGACAGTCTTCACAGTGACACCTGTCTCGTTCTGAAACACAAAGCAGTAGACTAGTCTTGTATACAAATCAACTAGCAGAGGTTCATGACGTGTGTGGATCAGGAATGAAAGTCGGTGATATATAAGTTCTGATTCTATCCAAGAGGAAACATATTATATGCAATCAAAGCACATAGGTGTTGCAACATATACATAAATGTTTTTGTTGTTGTATTTTCTGATATTTCACAATTGTACAAAATATGTTAAGATCTTCTTGACATTCAATATTTCTTGGTAGCTGAATGCTACAAACTCAAAAAGCAAGCCTACACTTGTTAGCTGGTACCAGAGATGCTATCAGACAGGGTGGCCTGTACCCAGTAGACCAGGAGCCCATGACAACCAATCCACATTAACACTGACAGTCCAACCACCACCAAAGCCACAGTGTTGAGAGACAGTGCCACACATTAATTAGCACCTGAGACACTATCTAACAAGACACCCCTTCAACCACCAAAACATGGTGGACAGTGAGCCGAATGTGAGCTCCAAAAACCGCTCCTCCCAAAAACACAGTTCGCCAGCACACTAGGGCCCTACCCTACACCCACTGATACTGAGTAGACCGAGGGATGAAAAAAACCCATCAATGTCAACTTTAGCAGTTCATCATAAATTTACAGAAACCTATGCAGGAAGTCTTAGAATATGAGAATGTCCTAACATTATACATGAAAAGTCTTGACATTACATTGTACCAAGATTGTATGTACCTGGTCCACCTACCTGTATGACAGAGGGTACAGGTCCACCTACCTGTATGATAGAGGACACTGGTCCACCTACCTGTATGACAGAGGGATCGGGGCCACCTACCTGTATGACAGAGGACACTGGCCCACCTACCTGTATGACAGAGGGATCGGGGCCACCTACCTGTATGACAGAGGACACTGGTCCACCTACCTGTATGATAGAGGACACTGGTCCACCTACCTGTACGATAGAGGACACTGGTCCACCTACCTGTATGATAGAGGGTACTGGTCCACCTACCTGTATGATAGAGGACACTGGTCCACCTACCTGTATGATAGAGGACACTGGTCCACCTACCTGTATGACAGAGGACACTGGTCCACCTACCTGTACGATAGAGGACACTGGTCCACCTACCTGTATGACAGAGGACACTGGTCCACCTACCTGTATGATAAAGGACACTGGCCCACCTACCTGTATGACAGAGGGATCGGGGCCACCTACCTGTATGACAGAGGACACTGGTCCACCTACCTGTATGATAGAGGACACTGGTCCACCTACCTGTACGATAGAGGACACTGGTCCACCTACCTGTATGATAGAGGACACTGGTCCACCTACCTGTATGATAGAGGACACTGGTCCACCTACCTGTACGACAGAGGACACTGGTCCACCTACCTGTATGATAAAGGACACTGGTCCACCTACCTGTACGACAGAGGACACTGGTCCACCTACCTGTATGATAAAGGACACTGGTCCACCTACCTGTATGACAGAGGACACTGGTCCACCTACCTGTATGATAGAGGACACTGGTCCACCTACCTGTATGACAGAGGGATCGGGGCCACCTACCTGTATGACAGAGGACACTGGTCCACCTACCTGTATGATAGAGGACACTGGTCCACCTACCTGTATGATAGAGGACACTGGTCCACCTACCTGTATGATAGAGGACACTGGTCCACCTACCTGTATGATAGAGGATACTGGTTCATCCAGGTTCACATTCATGGCTCCCACGGTGGACACCATCCGCTGTGAGACCTGCTGTGAACCACCCTGAAGAAGGAATAATAATGATAACATAGATCACTGATCAGAATTAAATGTTTCACTGCAGGATCAACTTGAACCGTACTTTACATATTCTGAAGTAAGCAAGCAAGTGTGTCTGGTTTAACATGGTCTTCAACAGTATATCAGTTTTATCATGTCAGCTCGAAGTGGAAGGAAAGCCCTCACCAATGCAGGGCTTTTACATCAGCCATAGCATATCGTATTGTACGATGAACAAAAGCAGGTACCTGTATCTTGAACTCCTGGGCCGTGAACTCTGTGGCTTCGACAAGGTTCTTGATACCATCAGCTGCACTCACGTACATTAAGTAGAACAATAAAGACACTTGAGTCGTCTCCATTCCCATCATGCAACGTCCAGCAGATTCAACTGCTTCCTTAGCACCTTTGTGAGGGAGTGAATGAGTTAGTGACACAGTGAGTCAAAATATAAAGTCACTTCGGGAGAATTTCAGCTGTATTGTGACTAGAATATGCAATACATTTATACTTATAAAACCTGTTGACAAGAAAGTATAATAACCTGCAATGTATCACAGATTACCATTTAAAACCAGTAGGAAGATATTACAGATATAACTGCAAAATGACAATAAATCATTCAGGTTATAGATCACTGGAGACCAAAGATAAGCCACATTACTGCATTTTCTCAAGGCAAGCGAGTAAACTGACTATCAAAGTCCAGTTTCCACCCTTGCCGAACTAGGCTGGTATTATGGAGTTACAGTTTGGCTGGACTAACAAGTCCATGCATAGTCCAATCAAAATCGTGCTACGAAATCGAAATCCGGTTTTTAAACTGTCGTGCAGATTTTGATCGATTGCAGGATTTGCAAAGCATATGTACCGCCAACTCATTGTCAACAGATATTTTTCATTTTTTTTTATGTTTTTAATCAAAGTGCTCAAGTGATTTGGTGCACTTCGCGATGTAAGGCCCGTTTTATCATAATATAGATCTTGATCATGATCAGATCGTCTTGACTGGCCGCCGCCATTTTGTTTAAAGCAAATGCAAATGATACGAGAGGTGGAAGTTGAATGGTCCATAGGAGAGGCTTAGAAGGGACATAACTCATAATAATTACTGGTGGCGCTATGATTGAGCCCAGGAATTCCAGCCTAGTTCGGCAAGGGTGGGAACTGGACTTTTAAAGTCAGTTAACTCTCTTGCCTCGGGAAGATGCATTACTGGGGACTGCGAGGACTTTTTGTAGCCCAGTAGAATGTACTGTTAGAAAAACTATCCCGCAATTAAACTTCAGAACAAATATACTACAACTAAAACAGTCCCAGCCATGAAAATATTGTGAATTAGTGGAACTACCAATTCATGGTATAATATAACTCAGTACATGTATAACCTGAGCATGTTAAGTAACAACATTCCAAATGAAATGTTGTCTTGGAACAAATGTTCGGACAACTTGGTGCAGTGAACCATGACCAGTTTTGTATTTATTTGCAGTTCTTTTGGGACATAGTGGTGTGAAAAAGGAAAGTGAACATCTCTCATATAACCAGACATTTGACACTTATGTGAATTTGTAATTTAAATTTGTTGTAATTCTTAATCTTAAAGAAATTCAATGATCAGAAAGTCTTCAGCCCAATTAATCCCCATACCCTTCACATCGTCAGAAACTGTTTTTTTTAGTATTATATTAACTGCAGTAAGCACATGTACACTTACTAAAACCATACACAAGAAGCTAAATTTGTGGTCTGATATCAAGTGGTAGTGAACAAACTTACTTCAAACTTAGGTAAAATTAAAACTTTTTGATAATGGTTATAAGGCAATTATAGACCCCTTTTTCACTGCAAGTTTCTACCAACTCATGTACATGTGTGCTTTGTTTGTTTGTTTGTTTGTTGTTTGACGCCTCACTCAGCAATATTCCAGCTATATGACGGCGGTCTGTAAATAATCGAGTCTGGACCAGACATTCCAGTGATAGGTGAGGTGAGGTGAAATTGGGTTTAACGTCGCGTCCAAGATTATTGCACTTATATAGCGACGTGCATGCACGTGTATGTGTGTGTGTGGCTGCTTGTACTAGTCCGGACTGATGCCGTTTATAGTGCTAGCTCATTGAGATACCATGCCGCAGTTTAACATGAATACCCCACTCAGACACAGTATACTGACTCCGAGCCGACCAGTCCTTGTTTTAGCCCCTTAATGCCGAGCGCCAGACAGGGTAACAACAAGTACAATCTTTTAACGTCTTTTTGCATGACGCGGCCCGGGATCGAACCCTGGACCTTCCGCTCTCCGGGCGGACGCTCTACCACAAGACCACGGAGGCGGTCTCCAGTGATAGACATCATGAGCATCGATCCACACAATTGGGATACGATGACATGCATCAACCAAGTCATCGAGCCTGACCACCCAATGTCGTTAGTCCCCTCTTACGACAAGCAGTCGCCTTTTACAACAGTCCTCAGCAGGAGGAGCTTACAGATAGGTTTAGAAATCAGCTTAATGGAGCAGAGTTCTCAATACAGCAAATATAGTATTTGTCTTGGATAAAGGACAATATGACAAATAAGAACATGATCACGATTACTGCTGCCTTTGAGGACGGTCTTGTTAGTTACTGTTGTTTAGTATACCTTGTTTCTCATCATTGTGGTTGGAGAAATAAATATTACAAGGAATAGAGTCTTTTAGTTCAGTTGTAGAGAAAAGGTGAAAAAATTAGAATCATTGCCACCTTTTGTCCACATAGTCTGTTGAATGAAGGTATCCATGGTGATGGCGTCCCACTCTGCAGCGTGCCGACACAACCAAGGGTCCTCCACATTCACCTCTCTACGCAGCTCATCAATCTGTTGGAAATACAGGCAAATATATATTTTTTTTAAATGAGCATTTCTAATTAAATGCAATGTTTTTATACTTACCTGACGCTACACAGTGCTATAGGTGTAGTGTCAGGTAAGGTAAAAACTCTATTTCATATTTTTAAATCTTTTTTTCAACATTTTGTAACCTTAGATCTATCCATATTTTACCATCCTCTCAATTACTGATGAATTTTAAAAAAAGGCATAGGTAACCCTATCATTAAAGGTGCCACAATTTGCTTTGCAGAGTTGCTTCCCTTAGGCATGCCAGAAACCTATGATCCGAGATTGGAATCTGTGATTTGCCCTGAGATTATGCTTCTAGGTTTGTCAACAGAAACTAGAACTTACACATAATTAAACTAAAGATTTATCACAAATAAATGTTTTTCCATTATTAAAAAAAAAGAAATTAAATAATATTTTAACGCCATGAACTAATCTCAGTATAAGTATAATGCTAGTAATCCTCCTGAAGTTTTAGTATCTTCCAATCATCAGTTTCATTTAAGAAATAAACAGACAGACGACCAGGCCAACATGCCATGCCATAAGCTCACCTAGACCATGTGTTCGGACAGGTGAGCTAAAGAAAATGTCTGTCTCTACCTTGTTTATGAACCGCTGAAGATCAATAAGAGCTAGGACAGAGAGCGAGGGGATATCAGACTTGTAGGAGCTGATGGTGTGGTCAGCGAGCTGCATGAACTTGATGCCCTGGAGGAACTGGGGGTAGATCTTGAGCTGGAGCTCCTCTAGGAGGGCCATGATGTGGGGCTGGCATCTGGGGACAAGATGCAGATAGACGTTACCTATATGTCAGTAGCAGAAGTTACGCAATGTCTCATTTGCATCTGATTTACATTTCTAAATTCTTCAAGGCTGAAATCAAAACATTTTTACTTTTTTTTTTTGGCTATAAATATCCATGACTCTCCAAATTGTGCTCACACATATGCCGGCAGTCATGGTGACTCTCAGTTTCCATTGGCTACTTGAAACCTGAATCAAAACATAAACTCCTCAAAAAAATATATGCAATGACAGCTTATCTTGTGGTAAAAATGTGTCGACCCATTCACTAAATATTTCATCGAAATCTCCGAAGTGGAAGTCAGGGAAAATTTCCATCCATTAATTAATGTATACATACACAGTGATCAGACCAAAATAATTCAGTGATGTTATGCTCATTCGACATCATTTTTTAAACAAACAGATCAGAGAACATACCTTCTTTTATGCTACAATTAACATTGCATGTGATGGAATCTCAAATGATGCAACAGTAAACTGAATTGAATGTACCCAATTAACGTAAAGTGCATACAACTATTTTCCAAAATTCATCAACAGTCATTCAACCGAGGTCAGTCCAGTAATCGGAAACACGTCAGTTGTTTTATGCCTAATCTGTACTCACCTTCCAACCCACTGACCACCAAGGTCCCAGTGGTCAGTCCCCGAGGCAGCCTTCATGGGGACAGTTTGCGTTCGACCACCCACACGATCTAAGTTGACAAACAAAACTCATAAACGCACGCATATTACTGTAATTATTCTTGGTTATTCTCAAGAAAAATATAACATTTCTTCAAAATAATCAACAATTAATAATCATGACAATAATAGAAGATCAACATTATGTGTTTTCAGACTTGCATATGTCATTGAGTATTTGATGCCTTTAGCAGGAGGTTTCAAATGCAAAACATAGGTTAACTTTCTTGGTCATAATCTGTAATACGCTGGATAGACATAAACAGTACAGACACAAGTTCTCAGCCAGAGCGTGCAAAATTGCTCAAGATCTCACACTGACATAATTTATTATGCATTGTAACAGAAAGGAATGCTTTCATATAACAGCACAATTACAGATATATTATCATAGGAAAATGGCAGTTTTTCATTTTAGTACCTGGTCGCAATTGCAATAAACAAGATCATGTTCAAAGTACTTCATATATAATTTTCATTTTCCTTACTCTGTTGTAGTATTTTTAAATAGAAAGCAAAGTTGGGAATATAATTGCAGGCCGTTACATACAATGAAATTACGTATAATTTCTACGGAGCAGCATCACTATAAGTTTAGGGATAACCTTTGGCCTCCAAGACAACAACGTGCAGACTTTGGTCCTTCTTTTTGAGGCGGTAGGCAGCTGCCATTCCCGATATGCCAGCCCCGACGACAACAACGTCACATTTAGTCGTGGACATTGTGACTCTGTGTGTGCAGCACCAACTATCGATTAAGTTGACAGTGGCAGATAAAGGCAATATCAATGCATTGGTGTGACCGTGTCCACTTCCTCAAAGTCCATCGTCAAACTTTAGGGCAGATAACTCTAAGTAATGTTGCCTTGATAAAGTGTGTTGGTAGAGGGGCCATACGTGGCACACGTCAAATGTCCGATAAAATAAATGCTGAGGTAGAAAAACGAACACCACTTTTCACTTTACTCCACGATGAAGAAATATATATACTTATACATTCACTTAAGAGCCAAGTATTATGAAATTCCAATACTTTTGAATATTAAGATATGTTCATTATTCATAACTTGTCGATGTATACTTGTTACAGTCAAAATGACTGAAATGTCCCCTTAGGCAATTTACAGAATGCCTACATATTTTAGTAATTTTACAAATTGACTGAAAAATCTGTCCATATATTTATTATTATAATGGATTCCAAACATTTTGATGTTTAATTTCATCACCCAGTTACTGAACACTGAGAGGATCAAAAGAAAACAAAAGTCAATGTATATTTTTGTGTGTCTTCTAATCCTATCATAATTAGTCTGTTGTGATTTTTTAAAAGTTGCAATTCAGAACATTGTATGTTTTTCTTAAGATAACATTCTTTTGACTTCTCGTCTTCTAAGGGTCGTATTTATAGAGAAGGTGTCATATTTTTGGAGTGATGGCTGGAAAACCACCAGACTTCCCTGTCGTAAGCAAATGACCAAATATTGCATAAATCTATTTACTAGTGTCTCCAGTATATAGTATGGTTTCGTTGCTGTATGCTTGAGTCTATTTTGTGGCTTATGCTGATATTCTATATGAAATATATACATATAGACAATAGATTATTATCACCGGACGTATCAGTTGACTTCGTCTACGACACAGATTAACATAAACTGTCGCATATGTTTTGTTTCTCGTTACTGGAGTATATCAGTTACATATCGCACATGTAGCATATATACTGGAGTATATCAATAACATATCGTACATTTAGCATATATACTGGAGTATGTCAGTTACATATCACACATGTAGCACATATACTGGAGTATATCAATAAAATAAATGTATTACATATCGTATATGCAGCATATACTCGAATATATCAAAAACATATCGTACAAGCAGCATATACTGAAGTATATCAATTACATATCGTACATGCAGCATATACTGGAGTATATCAATTACATATCGTACATTTAGCATATACTGGGGTATATCAATAATTATTACATATCGTACATGTAGCATATACTGAAGATTCGGACTAATATGAAACTTGGTTTGTCTGCACGATATCCGCTCTCGTGGATTTCACAAAAGTGGTAATCAACTGCGACCTGCGACATATTGGTTTCCTCCAACATCAAGCTGACACGCCGTGATGCATCTGATATACCATTCTGAGCAGCGTTAAACCCAACTCACTCTCTTACTTTGCCAGTTACAACTGTTGCGATCCGATGTGTATTATATACATAAACAATCACACCAAGGATTTGAAGAGGGGTCCTAGCAGAGTAATATCGATCTGAACTGTCTCGTAAACGGCGATCTTAAAGCCTTTCCTAAAACAAAACCGGATTATGAATAGGACATCTTCACATTCAACCTTGATGCGAACTACTGTCTTAAAAATCTTCCGTGATAACCCGCGCGTGAATCTCACACCCAGTGATATAACTGGTACGGCTAACTCATTAATTATCAAATTACCTATTTTCAAATTCATTTGATAAGACCCGTGAAGATCCGGGGTAGAATAGCTCTTCAGCTACCCATGCTGGCCTTAGAAAATGAGTGAGTGAGCTGGGTTTAACGCTATTTCAACAGTATTCCAGTTATATCGCGGCGTGTCAGCTTAATGTGGGAGGAAAGCCCGAAGTGATGCAGGTCTCAGACGTTTACCACTTCGGTGAAACCCACGAGCACGGGTATGGTGCAGACAAACCTAGAAACATAATCGGGATTCGATCCCACAATCATAGGTTTCTGGCGTGCCCAAGGGACGCAACTCGGCACAGCGAATCGCGGCGCCTTAGACGACTGGGCCCCCCGTGCCCCCCGTAGAAGGTGAGGTGAGGTGAAATGTTGTGAAAAGTTGCGTCCAAGATTATTGCAAGATTAATGACCTTTTCCCGTTGACGACAATATAACAGCCATGTGTTTGTGCGTTTTAGCATTATAGATGTTTTTATTATCCAAAAGCAATTTCAGAGTTTGATGCGACGCTTTTGTGGAAACAAGAATTGATTTTGTTTTGCTGGGATTACAGTGTGTATAGAATTAGCCAGTCTTGAGCCCTTTCATTAATTTTGTTTAAATTGCTATTCATAGTAGTGTCTGTATATTCAATGTTATTAGATGATATGCCCAGGTGATGTGTCGTCGTAAAATAATCTTGTTGAACAGTTCAATTTATCAGTAGTATCATTGATGCAAACAAGTAACAGGAAACGGCCTAGTACCGTGCAAACAATGCTCGTGGTTGAAGGACAAAGACTCGTCAGTCACTCACAGGAACATTTCCGACAGCTGTCATAGTAATACTTGGAATTTGCTGTAACTTTGATATTGCCAATGTATCTTTCGTTTTTACAGTATACACAGGGAAGACCTTTCAAAGCCTCAATTCTCCCAGAGGTGAGAGAGAAAAGCGCTGCTGCTAAAAAAGTGGAATCCTTCAGGACAGGAGTTCGAGAACATATCCGATCTGTAAGTAGAAAGTTGAAAATATCAGCGTTTTGTGTTTATAAATTAGACCTCTTTATCGGTGTTATTTCTGTCCCCAAACAGCATTCATTCACAAATATCGTTCCAGCTCGCGGCCTTTGTTAGCCGGAAGACAGGCCTGAAGGATGCCAAGAAGCGGGATGGAGATGTGGAGAATGCAGGAAGTCTTAGTCTGGTCGTCTACAGCTCGACAGGTGAGCAGTTCAACTCGGTAACCCCATCACTTGTAGGTCGGGAAAATATACATACATACTCAGATACATTAAGAAATGAGTTTAGCACGTTTGGGAATTTTCAATATATTGGGATATTTATTTAACTATTGACCAATCAAAATGGTGTAACAATTGGTCACATTGTTGTGTAATTCAGTCTCACAAACCATTGTTTGTGATGGGTTATGGATTTACACTGTTTAAAATAGTATTCCAGTCATATCACGGCTTGGGGGCCTATGTCTGGAATCGAACCGGGGTCTTCGGCGTGATGAGCTAACTGTTTATCTTCTTGGCTATCCCGCAAACTATTGCACCTTTGACATTTTCTTTATGTTCTTATGTCATTGTGTGTTTTACCGTCATTTAGTCGCGTGCTGTTTATTGTCCTCAACCAAATACTTAATTTAACAAGAATATCAGTCAAAAACCAGAACTCTTTTATGTCACAACCATGCCGTACAAATGCTATGAACTATCATTTTTGTGTGAAGTCATTTTTTGAACATGTACTCCTACACACATATAGTGTATGAAAGTTTATAATTCAGAGGAAAAAAGGATATAAAATAGTATTTTTGTTTAGTTATTAGTTGAACATTCAAAAGGGAAATATTGTTTGAAAGATTAAGAAAACTGCTCACTTTTCCTCTATAAGAGCAAAGAAAACATGTCCTTGCTTAATCTTTTTCTTTGCTTGCACGTAGCGAATTGTCCCAAATATGATTCGATATGGGAATATGTGATAATTAATGCTAGTGTAAGGATATGAAGACATATCGGTTATGATCAGACCCGTGATGATCCGGGGTAGAATATGTCTTCAGCAACCCATGCTTCCCGTTAAAGGCGACTATGCTTTTTGCAAGATGCGACTAACGGGATTGATTGGTCAAGCTCGCTGGTTTGGTTGATGCATGTCATCGTATCCCAATTGCGTGGATCGATGCGGATGATGTCAATCACTGGATTGTCTGGTCCAGACTCTATTATTTACAGACCGCTGTCGTATAGCTGGAATATTGCTGAGTGCTGATATTATTCTTTTGTATATTAAATTAAATTATATTTTGTTATTATATTCTTTTATAAATCTCATATCCAGGCCCAGCAGACAGCAGGCGGAAGTCTCCAGACACAGATGTATCAACATCCAAGAAGATAGGGCGTTTCTCGAGATTCCGAGCACTGCTCTCCAGGCTGTGCTGTTGCCGATAGATCTGTGAAGGCATGGTCTTTCTCAAGTGCTACAAATTTTGTTCGATGTCACTCTCAGGATGATAAATAAAGTCCTTACATTGTTTATGTTATTAATCATCAAGATGGGGCACGGATGGCCCAGTCGTCTAAGTCGCCGCAAGTCGCTGCGCAGAGTTGCGTCTCTTGGGCGCGCCAGAAACTTATGCATATGGGTTCGAATCCCGGTAAGCCCTAATTATGTTTCTAGGTTTGTCAGCACCATACTCGTGTTCATGGTTTCACCAAAGTGGTTAACGTGGGAGACATGCATCACATCGGGCTTACCTCCCACATCAAGCTGACATGCCGTGATATAACTGGAATACTGTTGAAATCGGTGTTAAAACAAACTCGCCCCCTTTCTATGATGATCCGTTTAGTTTGTCAGATGTTACAGGTATGTGGGCACATGGTGCCCCGTTTCTGTCAAGGTCCTGAGAAGATTGAATGGATATTTTATACATTCACGAAAAAGGAGAGAGAAACAATGGTTTGAATTATGAAATCTAAACACCTGTTGTGTTTTGTACAGACTGATTATGTCATTTGTTATTTGAACGAATAGTTCTTGTCTTCAAAGAGTATAATACAAATGTCTTGTTATATAAATATACAAAAATAAAATACACTATAAATATCTTTCTTCGCATTTTGGTTGATGTTTAAAGCAAGCAATACAGAGTACCTATGTATGCTTAAGTAGAGGAGCCCTTCATAGTGTTTTATATGAAGATTATAGAGTTTTGTTGTGAGAGTTTAAGTCCGCAACTGATGGTCTTATTCTGAGGATGTGGGTTTTAAATCTCATATATCCTGCTGATCATGTTGAATGTAGTATTGTCTTATGACCTATTTGTGTGGATGTCGTATTAACATACAACCTG